CACCTCAGTTTTCAAAGCAGCTTTAGGCTACAACAGTGACAATCAGCAATTTACAGGTATGGCCATTTATTATGATGTTTTGTCTCTTTATTTCTGAAAAGCACTTTAGTGTCCTTCTCAAAGAGTTAGGAAAGGATCTGAAATGAGGAGCTCACAATCTCCAAATTAAGAAGATAAAATCAGAATATTCTGACTTCAAACAACTGACAACTTCCATTTCCTTGTGTTACATTGTTTCTTTGCTTTTTAATTTAAAGCTTAAAAGTAGCAAAAGCACCTGATATAAAACCAGCATCATTCAAGTCAGACCGAGGAAGGCCCATGGCAGAACAACCACAGCTGCTTTATCACTTGCCAGTCAGGGAGATTCAGCCCCAGAGAGACTTCTTGGATGGTTCCTCCTGTTCTCCCATCCTTGTGGGATCGGCCAATCTTAAATTACTAAGAAATTAGGTTATTGTGGCACTACATGCAGACACCCACACTTGTGAGCTTCAGCACTCCAGTGACTCACAATCTATTCCCAGCAGAAGCAAGAAGGAAGCAGGGAGCTTTCCCTCCTCTCCTTCAGCTGGCCAAACATCACCTGCCCTTCAGCACTTTACAAGAGCCCTAAACTCATAAAAGGTCACTGAGTTACCTGCAGTGCAGCGTCATCGTTCCTACCACGAGCAGCTCCAGGAGCTGCCAAACAAAAGCCAGTTGTGGATTTTCTTCATGTTTTTTGTCATCACTCAACTGCCTGGCCAGCTGAGGTGGGATGGGACATGAATATTGCCAGCTCACAGAGTCCCAAGACAAATTACTTAAGGTGCTTTGGATGTGGTATCATTTGAAAAAGGGGGATGTCTTACATTTATTGCTACAGAATTAAGGGAGCCTTCATAACTTTAAATGATGATCTAAAGGCATTTTTCAACAAAAGAGAAACTTTTCTTCTTACACAGCTCTACAGATCAAGCATCAAATATCACTGCTCCATTACAGACCCTGCATATCTGAAATTAAGGTCATCCTCAAAAATCTTTTTCCTCTCTGTTGGAGAGGCAAGATGAAGATAAATGCAGAGCTGCTAAGAAACAAACAGTTCTATTCTTTTTAAATCTATGGGATAGCAGGAAGAGAGCTGCCAAGATGCTCTCACCTCATTACCTGCTTCATGTGCTATTGCCAAGATGTCATCAGAGACGTTTGACTAAAATCAACAGAATAATTCATGTTTACACACGACTTCAACAGCGTCAGCAACAGGTACGTGAGCTGCAGTGTACAACAACAGAGGCTGCAAGAGTGTCTTAAGCAATAATATTACTTGTTAAGGCAAAAGGATGTTACAAAATGATGAGCTTCTACTCCTTATTCCACAAAAATGACACTTACTCATAAGACTGGTGCTATTTTTGTCTTGCCAAAGCAATATGAGGAACATGCACCCCGTTTCTGGAGCAGGCCTTCTTCCCCTCTAACAAAGTGAAAAGATAAGCCAAGGATGCACGGGGGCTGTTGTACCAGTGCTTCCCTGCCAGTGTGATTAGTAGTGTTAACCACAGTTTTTAAAACACAAACGAGGTAAAAAGGAAGAAAAAAGCAGTTACACCACTCACTTTGAACGTGGAGTACTTACACTGTGAGACAGAGTGAAAATCCATTTAGATTTAAGTGAAATGTACCACTTTAAGCTTGCTAACATAAGTGAAATATGTTGTTTAGTCTAGTAACTACAGCACTAGCAAAGTTAAAGAAAAAATAAAAAAGACTTCTCAAACCTTAAAAGAAACAAGACAGAATAACCCAAGAGTTCTTTCTGTACTTTCTGACAAAAACTAAGTACAACTAACTGCAAGTATAATGAAAATCAACAAAATAAATACACATAAACCTATTGTAAAATTCTATACATGTAGAAATTAGTCAAGATAATAAAAAAAAATCAGAAGTTCTCAAGAGCGCACATGTCCATTAAAGAACAATAAATCCCCACAGCACTGTGAATAAACATATCCCTACAAATCTTTATTACAATTGCAGAATTGTAATTTTTCATCCACGTTTCAACTGCGAGAGGGCTGATCTGTGAGCAGATCTCAAAGAAGCCCCTGAAGCACAGGGTTTGAGGAGGCACACAGGGTGAGCAGCCAAGCGCAGCAAGCCCCAGCCAGCCTGGTCCTGGTCCTGGTCCTGGTCCTGGTCCCCTCACCCAGCCAGCTCTGCGAAGCGCTGGGCGCACACACACCGGCACAGCGCTACGACAGCAGCGAGCCGCTAAATCCAGCGGCCTTCCCGGCTGCTTCCCGCAGCTGCAGCCCGGGACGCGAGCGGGACCCCGCAGCGATGGGTCGGGGGAGCCGCGGCAGCCCCAGCCCGGCCCCGCCGCCCCTCCGCGGCGCCCCGGCCCGCAGCCTCACCGTGGTCCTGGTTGAAGCCGCCGTAGAGCAGCCCGTTGCCGTGCGGGTTGGCCGGGAGCAGGTTCATGGCTCCGGCTCGGCCCCTCCGCCCCCGCCCCTCACACCATGGCAGCGCCCGCCGCGGCAGCCCGAACCCAGCCGGACCGAACCCGCCCGAGCCGAGCCGGGCCGGGCCGAGCCGAACCGAGCCCGGCCGAGCCGAGCCCGGCCGAGCCGAACCGAGCCGGGCCGAGCCGAGCCGAGCCGGGCCGAGCCGAGCCGAGCCCGCCCGAGTCCCGCCGGGCCGCGGCCGCCGCTTCCGGCCCTGCCAGGCACCGCTGCCGAGCGCAGAGCCCATCCAGCCGCCGGCGGGAGGAGCGCTGAGCAGTCGAGCGCCGCGGGAATGCCGGCGGGAGTGCCAGGAATGGACCGGGACTGA